GGGAATTGAGAGCCCAGTCTCCATTCCCCAGCGGCAGTGTGATATGCCGGGAATTGGGAGCCCAGTCTCCATTCCCCAGCGGCAGTGTAAAGTGCAGGGAGAGGAGAGCAGTATCCTCCCTCCCCAGCGGCAGGCTGAGTTACAGGGGGCAGAGGTAGCTGTTCCTGCCCCCCAGCAGCAGAGTGATATGCCGGGAAGGCAGTGTGAAGTGCAGGGAGAGGAGAGCAGCGTCCTCCCTCCCCAGCGGCAGGCTGAGCTACAGGGGCAGAGGTAGTTGTTCCTGCCCCCCAGCAGCAGCGTGATTTTTTGGGAATTGGGAGCCCAGTCTCCATTCCCCAGCGGCCGAGTGATGTGCCGGGAATTGGGAGCCCAGTCTCCATTCCCCAGCGGGAGATACAGCAGGGAATTGGGAGCCCAGTCTCCATTCCCCAGCGGCAGAGTGTCCTACCGGGAATAGAGAGCCCAGTCTCCTTTCCCCAGCAGCAGGACACTGTATTGGGAGCGGAGACAGTCGGTCTCCCTCCACAGAGGATGAAAGTATGTATGGGAGAGGAGCTTGCTACCACCTCTCCCCAGCGGCGGATCATTAATGGGCAGGGAATAGAGAGCTCAGTCTCCTTTCCCCAGCGGCAGAGTGTTCTATCGGGAGAGGAGCCTGTTACCCCCTCTCCCCAGCGACATCTTAGAGTATCCAAAGGGGAGACAGTCGGTCTCCCCCTCCAGCAGCAGAGATGGATAACCAAAGGGGAGACGGTCGGTCTCCAGCAGCAGGACTGTGCATCTAAAGGGGAGACAGTCAGTCTCCAGCAGCAGAGCGGTGTATTTAAAGGGGAGACAGTCGGTCTCCCCCTCCAACAACCAGGCTTCCACAAGGCTACCCTCCCAGTAGCGCTGGCAACAGGGCAGAGTGCCGCTGGTCTCTGCCCACGCAGCAACCCACCAAGTCAGCGTACCCGTACCCAGCACAGCCGTGGTGAGGCACCTGGACATGGACAAGCTTCTCCTTTACCCAGGTGTAGTAACCATTTATTGTGGGTGGGCTGTGCTGTTGATTATTTGTTGTGGGTGGGCTGCTGGACTAACAAGGGCACTGACCGGCAGGAGGTCAGATACCCTGTTAGTCTGTTTGGAAAAGGGGAGAGATGTGACGAGACCAATCTCGCCACATTGCATTGGAGAAGCCTGGTTGCTCGCCTGCTGCCTTTGGACTATGGCCCCCTTTTAAAAGACTTTATTTTTGCCTGCAGAAAAGCTGTATTCATGCTTTTCTGCCTGGGGTTCAGTAGATTTGTTTGAATGTGTTATACCCCAGATAGGAATCCCATGGAGCCCATTCGTATGAAACTGACTGTAAAGACTTTGGCTCCATGGCGATTAAACTGTATTTGTGTGGTCCGAGCGCCATTCACTTAATAATGTGCGCTCAGACCTGAGCTATCTGGGGATATGTGAAATGTCTGTGTGTTATGTGTAAAATGTAACTTTATGTATTTTAAAGTGTTTTACTGTCTTTGTGTCTTTTTGCAACCATGTGCTTAATGGAGTCTTGTGTCTGTCCTGGGAGATAATTGAATTACTTATCTCCAGGATAGAAGACTCTGAAACTGGTTTGGGCCAGAAAGCCATGCTTCATTTAGTCACAAAGGACTTTTTACTAACTTTTGAACCCCTTGTCTGATTTGTGCCATTTTTGAATATGTTGTTCCCCTGAATGGATTGATTGTGAATATGTAATTTTATGTGAATGTAATGTATGGTTTTAGAGTTATGAAAGTTGGGTAGAAAGTATGTTTTAACTGTATGTATAATTGAGTTTCCTCTCAGGATAAGGGGAGGGAATATGTGGGATGTAACTGTGATGTGATTGGTTGTTTTATACCTCCCTGTGGGCGGTCCTGTATTTGCAAGACTGTAATAAAAACCAGGCTGGGTGTGCCAGCACCTCAGACCACTGCTTGACCCTCAACACGGAGCCTTGTCTCGTTCTTGGGGGGATTCACTGTATGCTGTTAGAGACTGATTGCCAGGAGTGTAAGCTGTTCGTCTGCTTTTCCTGTTCGTCTGCTAGCAGCTATTTGGGAGGTTCCAGTTCGGGAGTTGGAGTGCTCTTTTGTATCCAGTTCGTGAGTTTTGGTGTTCTGCAGTAGCTGTGCCTGGATCTCTGGAAAGGGGGCCGATCGCCTAAACGGTTTTTACCCCTTGTGTGCAAAACGGTCCGTTACAATATGCATAAATGGACAATTATCAAACCCAGTTTACATCTCCAATGGCACGAGACAGCAGTGCCTGCTCTCCCCACTACTCTTCATTCTTGTGTTGGAACCCTTCCTACAAGGTATCAGGGACAACCCTCAGACTCATGGTTTCCGGGTGGGGGAAGTAAAACACAAGATCTCTGCATTCGCAGATTGCATTTACCC